ACATCCTGTCTCAACGATCACCCTATTAGGTAATCTCGAAACGAGGAAATCGTGGAGTCCTCCCGGACGTAACACATGATGTAAAAATTATTAAAAAAGACTTTTTTAAATAATTTTTTTAGTTCATATTCAAGGGAATTTAGTTGTGAAGAGAATGCACTTTGATTTTTGTCGATCGGTCAAATATTTTTTTTGCTATCGTGTACGCAGTTTAGGAAAAATCGTAAAAATGAAAACTCGAGAAAACACGCTTTAAAGTTTGCGGTCGGAAAAAGTTTGATTTATTGACTACTTACATCAATAATCTGCTAATCAGCGATTCCTGCACCATATAAGAGGCCTTCAGCTTCCTCGTAGTATTCATGAAGATGAATTTGTTCGGCTCTTCGAGCTGTCCTGGCCTCTTTGCTGCTGAGTGACTGCCGCGCGTTCTGTCGCTCAATCCGCGATTCGTCAGTAGTATCGGCAAATAATTTGCATTGCTGGCCAATGCGTAAATCCAGCAACTGCATTGTCATCAGGATGGATAAATATCCCTCATTAAAAATGCCTGCAGCCATATATGCAGCTATCTGGACAAATTTTTGCCGGAAAATGTAAATGTTTTGGCGCCATACGCCACACCGTTGAATTGAATGTGTTACGTCCGAGGTTCCGCACGCATGGAACCTGAGGGGGTGAACGTAACGCGAACCGAAACGCCGTATCGTCAGTCCCAGCTCCGGACCGCAAGGGAGCTAAGGGGATGGACCGACTCAACGGGAGGCACTTCACTTCGTCCTTTGGCCACTTGGTAGAGCCGGGGGTTCGAGGGAGTACGAAGCGGAAGCCTCTCTCGAGATCGACGCTCCGCTGAGTGCCGCTCGAGGCAAACGCACAGGCTAAAGGCCGGGAAACTAGGTCAGTGTGCCATAAGGGCTCACTTCTATCCTAGTTGGGCCAGTGCGTTCGATGCCCTTATTTTCGGCCTTGGAAGTAAATCCAAAGGGCCGGGGATTGGACTAAGTGCAATCGTGGTGTCAGCAGAAGGAATACGAGGAGGTGTTGCTCGAAATTAAAATAATCAGAGTTTGATATTTAAGTAATATAATTAAAATCAAGAATTGTTATTACATTTGATATATATATGTATATATATATTTAATAATATAATTAGCTTGATTGTGAGCGTGTGTGTGTGTGTTCTGAGGAGAAGAGAAAGAGGGGGAGGGGGAGGTTAAGGAGCGTTTAAAGAGGTGGGGAATAGTCAGTAAGGGGGGTTAAATGTTCTGCTGGGACAGTGAACGGGAAAGAGGTATCGTTGAGGTATACTACTGCGGTTCGGGGGTTATCGGTAGGTTGTCGCAGCCAATAGGCCAGGAGGGCAGCTACGGAAGTGATATAGTGGAAATACGGTGGTTGAAAAGACGGAGGCAAGGAGAGTTGGTTGTCAGCAAGGTCTAAAGGCGGAAGATAGATGTTTGAGACGGGGGAAGGATTCGGGTATAGTGACGGGAAATCGGGTGTTTCAGGAGGTTCGTCGGGAAGTGAGAGGAGGTGCGATACTGGTGAGTATGAAATAGATATTGGAGGGGAAGGAGGAGGAACAGAGAGAATTGGTGGTGTTAATTCGGCGACGGTATAGTTTCCGACCGGCGAAGCTTCGGTGGTGTGGTTCAGGGACTGACGACTCTCCGGAAAATTGACTCTATTACGTGACGTTCTGCGAGTCGTCCGGACGTACGTTATAACCGAGCGACGGTAGGGACGACCGGTGGTTCCATCTGAACGCACTGCAAGGTTCATGTATCGATATTTAAAGGGAAAACAATTAAGGACAATTAAACAATTAATTAACGAACAAAGAAAAGGACGCGAATTCCTGAAAGTAGTGAGTGGGATAAGAAGAAAGAGATAAAAGGGAAAAAGAGGGGCGACGTTCACTTACTGGTTGATGAAGACGGCGGAGCCTGTTGCGAGTGCTTCGAAAGGTTTGATGTCAGCGTAGGTGGTTGAGACCTCGGGCTTCGAATCACTGGCTCTAATGTTAGATATTTAATAAGTAATGCACAGAGTGCGCCCGAGACTCGAACTTGGTAAATTGAATGAATCGGAGTAGCCTTTCGGGTCCAACTTTAGGACCAAGATTCTCAAGACCAAAAGTCAAGACAAGAAGACTAAAAGGCTAATAAGACTTAAAAGACTCAAAAGACGAGAGCAGAAAAAAGAGAGTCAGGACCGCGGAACCGTGGTTTATATAGCGGTTTTTCCTAATTAGTGGCGTTCAAATTTGGGTGGTGGGATGACTTTCGGGATTTTGAATTGGTCGAGATTATGGGGGAGGAAAGAAGTCAGTTGGTATCAACAAGTGTCGTCTTAGTTTATGACTTTCCTAAATTTATGGGAAAATGCACGTGCACCGATTAAGACGAGCGCACGTGCACTGTCGGCACGCGCCCGTCAAACACTTTCCCTGGACTTCGCATGTCACGTTTATATTTTATGGTCGCGGACATCGTGAGAATCGTCCGCGACTTGCCTGTCAGAAAAATGGCGCCAGTACTGACATTAACTGCCGTTTTTAATGGCGCTGTCCAAGGGAAGTGTCATCGGCGGTGCATTAGCTCCCTGCGTTCACCGATTCTAACTCTATTTTATTTGGCATTAATGGAGACACTAGAGTCTTTTTACTTTAACTTTCTCATGGGAAAAGATTTTTATTACTTTTCCTAGAAGTCTTAGGGAGTTGATAACCCCTAGGTCTCCGTGAGAAAGAGAAAAGAGGCAGCGTGAGTCCGCTGGACGTAACAAATGATTCGTTTGGGTTTTGAGTATGACCACCAAGACATCGCGTTAAAACGTCATTATTCGACAGATCTTCGTAAATTGGGCGAATATGTTTCTCGATATCGTTGTTAATTAATGGAGCATCGTGTTTAAAATTTTTCAGTTCGTTCGTCGCTTGAGCTTTGCGCCACTTGCACCAGCTGTCGGCGCCCGCAGGACATTTCTCATGCCTTGGTTTTATATCAGTCGAACAGTAGTGGTCTAACGTGGCAAAAATGGCATTTTTCATGTCTTCAACGGAATCTTGATGTCTTCTAATAGCTAAGCCATAAAAAATTGTTAGCTTTTTTATAACAGCTTCGGTCAGACGATTTTTCCCACCGAGTTTATTTTTTTTTCTTATATTCCGTAGTCGTGTGCCCATCCTTTTCTGCACGTGTCCCACACATTCATTTTTTATAACCGGACATTCGTCTCCGTACGGATTTACTTCAGGTAAGGGGATCGAGGGACGGGCGCGCGCTCGGAGCAGACCGGCATTCGCCGCGGCGCGCTCCGCGCCTACCTACTCTCGGCCGTCACAAATACTTTGAATAGGAATTTATCCTTTTTGGAATCTATTCTTGGATAGTTTATCTATCGATTTAAGCAATAAAAAAATCGATTTTTTTGACCTTGTAAAGCAGACTACCCCCTTAATGACACTAAAACATATATGGTAGTTAGAAAGAATCCAGCAATGGCGATAGAAAGAAATCTTAACAATATGTTTAAAAAATGACACCAAAAAGATTACATTTCTGATGGAGAGCTGTGGAGCCTCCGTTCAAGCGACTCCCTTTTACCAAAAGCATATGCTTTACCTAAAATACACAAAGAAGGAGTTTCTTTTAGAATTATAGTATCCTCTATTAACACAGCGCTATATCCATTAGCTAGTTTCTTACAGGATATTATTTCTGAGAATATCCCTCCTGCAAAAAGTAAAATAAAAAACAGTTTTGATTTGTACAATAAATTAACTGGAATAATTGACACAACAGAGATTATGATTTCATTGGATGTTGCTTCTTTGTTTACTAATGTTCCGATAGATTTAGCGATTGAGGGACTGGTAAGGAAGGTGGGATTCCATAAAAAGTGCCACGACATATCTAAGACAGAATTCATTAATGCAGTCAAATTCATATTAACTTCGACATATTTTACATTCAATAGTAATATATAAGCAAACGTTAGGCACTCCTATGGGTTCCCCCCTTTTTTCCTGTCATATCTATCATGGTGATGGAGGATTTAGAAGAAAAAGCTCTAAATTCTTTACAACCTCGTTTGTCTACTTATTTTAGATATGTTGACGATGTTTTCATGATTGCACCTAAAGATAGAGTAACTCCAATTCTAAAATTGTTTAACGGACAACATGAGAGACTTAATTTCACAATTGAATACGAGGAAAACCATATGTTGAATTTTTTGGATCTTTCTGTCATAAACAAAGACAATATCACTGTGTTAGATTGGTTTCATAAGAAAACGTTTTCGGGCAGATATTTGTCATATTATTCTAATCATCCTACATGCTACAAAATTGGAATGATATTTAATTTGGTTGACAGAACGATCCTCTTGTCGAATCCTATATTCTTTAATAAGAATTTAGAACGCATAATAGAGATTTTGAAGGACAATGGTTATCCTTTAGATCTTATATTTGACTGTATCAATAAAAGGATAAAAACTTCGGCTTGTAAAAAATCCACATTGAACAATAATATCACTTGGCCCAATTGCGTACGGATCCGTTTGCACACAGACCCGATTGCGCACGGATCCGTTTGCACACCGACCCGATTGCGCACTGACCCGTATGCACACGAACAGTGGGGTGTCAGCGTAGACAGTGTCTGCTTGGAATATTTTTCCAAAAAAATCTAACCCTAACCAAACCATTTGTTGGGGTGAGGTAGCCCTCATTTCGCGTGGAAGGCTTGTGAGCTGTAGGCAATAATATTTGTAGGCATTCGAGCTGTAGGCAATAACACATGTCGGGTTCGTGTACAATGGGTCTGTGTGTAATCGGGTCGGTACGCAATCGGGTCCGTGCGCAATCGGGTCGGTGTGCAAACGGATCCGTGTGCAATCGGGTCAGTGTGCAAACGGGTCCGTATGCAATCGGGTCTGTGCGCAATCGGGTCTGTGTCCGATCGGGTCCGTGTCCGACCGGGTCCGTGTCCGATCGGATCCGTGTCCGATCGGGTTCGTGTCCGATCGGGTCCGTGTCCGATTGGGAAATCCTTTCGTGTCCGATTGTTAATGTGCGCAATCGGGACGCTCTCCGTAATAACATAAAATTAGATCAGTCTAAATATTCGGTAATCTCTAAACATATCAACGAAAATAACCATAATTTTAATTGGGAAAAAGTTAAGATTCTTGATTTCGAAAAGAATTATAGGAAAAGGAACATTTCAGAAATGATACATATCAAAGAACAAAAAAATAGGTTAAATTTAATGAAAGATACCGAGTTATTGGACAAATCTTATTTTAACATACTTGACGACATTCGCGAATAAAAATTGTAACAGTTTTGAACAGACTTGACTTTACATTGTGAATTCAAAGACTTATTTATTTGACCTACATATTAGATCAGTTGATTTTTAAACGAGCAACACTCAATTTCTAGTTTTATTGTTCTTAATCTGATATCGTTTTGAGATTTTATATCATAGTATTTTATATATATATATATACGTATGTTACGTCCAAGGTTCCGCACGCATGGAACCTGAGGAGGTGG